ACTTGGAGAGACTGGGTTTTTGTTTCAGGCTCCTATCTAGTCTGTGGCTTTTGTGACCTCTGCTGTCTCTCTTCTGTCAGTATTCTCATTAGCCAGGTATCGAACTTCAGGTTCAAATCTTAGTGTTTTGTTTTTCCAGGGTACTCTGGTAATTCACCTTTTTTGAAACTGCAATATAGTTGGGCAGGGAGGCACAAAATAGAAGGGGAATGAAACATTCTCCTTGCTCAGAGCAGCCCCAGACCTGCTTTGTTATGCTTCTGGCAGAGAGCATCCCTGAGTCTCACAGGTAATGTGATTCCTCTTGTCTGACTCAGCCTCCAGGAAGCGAGTAACTACGTCCTGGCCCCGCAGCCCAGCTCTGAGCAATAGGCATCCTCAGCTTCTAGAACAGACTTAGCCAGCACAACTAATGGAACAATGGCGTTCATATGTAGGATCTACCCAGGGAATTCAGTATTAAGATGCAGTTGTCTGCAGCCAGGTGTTTTCAATGTCTCCTTTACGGATAAATGGAAAAGCCATTTCTATTTTGTCTTTGTTTCAGCGTTCTTACTTCCGTACTCTTCTCATGTATGGGTTCCACTTTCTGGTGTGGTTCCTTTGTGTCAGAGGAATCAGGGACACACAGTGTGGGTTCAAATTATTAACTCGAGAAGCAGCTTCACGGACGTTTTCATCTCTACACATCGAACGATGGTAGGTTCCTAACCGGAATGTGTATCTTCTTATACAGCATTTTTCCAGGTAATGAGAGGCAGCCCCATGTTCTCATAATGAACATCCAGGTATAAACAAAATTGACACTTACATACGTAAACTTAATCTGTTATTTTGAAAATCTAAAACCAAACATAGGGTATAAAGTTATGTATTCACTGTAATTGTAGACAGTATAAATTGAGAGGCCTGAAAACACCCTGTTTCCTTAAGTTTCCTTTTTTTCCCTTTGAAGATAAAAAGAAAAGCTCAGAAATATCAAAGCAAAAGAAGGAACCCATTTTCTCTTCTTTCCTTTCCTTTCCAGGAGTACGTTCCCTCTCCCACCTAAGACCAGCCCTTCAACCTCTGAAGAACCTCCTAAGAACCCAGTCCTGTACTTTCTCTCTTGTGTATTCAGCCTTTTCCTTCAACCACATCTTTCCCATCAGTTTTTAAAACAAGTGTAAATTTCTCTTGCCATTAAAAATACCCCTCTCCATTGACACCCCCACCCCAGCACCCTCCAGCTCCAGCCCTCTTTCCTTCCACAGTCAGCCTGTTGTTGGAAGAGGGGTCTGCAGGCACTGTTTCCACCTGCCCCCTGCCTGCTCACAGCCCACTCCTCCTCCCGTCTGAGCCTCTAGTTAACCTTAAGTCAGTGAATCCCTTGGTCATGTGTAATATGACCACTCACTGTCTTAACCCATCCACAGCCTTCAGTACTTCTGAGCTCTCTCTCTCTCGGAACATCCTGTTCCCTCAGCCTCTCTTTGTCCCAGACCTCACCTCCGCTGTCAGCCTGTTCAGTGAGTAACACCGTCACACAGAAGCCTGAAACCGTGGGGTCATTCCGACCTGCCCCACGGCCCCTCCACATAGCCAACCCGCGACGAGGCCTGTTGACTTGAGCTTTTATGTCCCTTCATTTCTCTTCGTCTTCACCACCATCCAGAACATCATGTCCTTTGCTGCAGCCCAAGGGGTCTTTCCAGAGACTAAAAGTGATCAGTCAAGAGCACCTGTTCTTTGACTCTTTCAGTGGCTTTGAATCTTTCACTGGCTTCCCATTGCCTTTCCGTGTTTTCCCAGGGCCCTGAAGGGATATAGATGGGCAGTGTAGTATCCATTGTATGCTCTCACCCACCTGAGTCTCCACGTGTGGACTCTTCCCTTCTCCCCAGCCCGTCCCTCCATCAACCTGCGTCACTCTCCAGACGAGGTCACGCCCCCGGTTACACGCTGTGTCACACCATAGCCTTTCCTCATAGCACCTGCCACCTCCGTAGTGCTTTATCTGTAATGTTTCTCCACAAGAGCAAGAATCCTGTCTGATTTTGCTTACGAGTACATCCCACTGTCTAAGAGAGAGCCTGGCACGTCGTGGGTCCTCGGTCTATATTACTGAAAGAATTAATACATACTTAGTGTTGGTCCTGGTTCTGTGTGAATTCTCTTCATGGTGGGAGTCTGCATAACAGTTTCAGGAGATGTTTTTTTAGTCTGTGACTTTCATGCATCTATTTGCAAAGATCAGTTCTCTCTCTAGAAACAGATGTCATATAATCCTCCCAAATAACTTTAAAGAAACTGTACTTTCAGAATTAAAATTATCAGACATGTTTTTAAATATTTTTTCCTAGACTAAAAATTTTTAAGTAAGGTATATTTGGTCTTCAGATTTAGATATATGTTTCTATTATGTTGAAGAATAAAATATACTGATAGTTAATGGACTCCAAAATCAGAGAATCTAATTTAAGAGGCCACTCTAGAAGTAAAGCCCTCCTTCTGCATGAGATATTTTTTAATCAGCTATTATGAACAGATCTAGAGTCAAAGAACTAGGTTTTTGTAGTTTGAAAGGAAGGATTTAGAAATGGCGAACATTAGGGTTAGCGTCGATAGCTGAAAATTAGGGTTGATAACTTAAAAAGCATGAAGTTTCCTTGTCAGGGTTGTTCTAAGGCAGCATTGCCCAATATAAATGTAATACAAGACAAAAATGCAAGCCATATATGTAATTGTAAATTTTCTCGTAGCCACAATTTAAAAAGTAAAAAGAAAGATGAAATTTATTTTAATACTGTATTTAACGCAATATAAACATAGTCATTTCAGCATGCACTCGGTATGAAAAAATACTGAGCTATTTTATATCCTTTTCTTTGTACTATGGCTTCAAAGTACAGTACATCTCAGTTCAGACTAGTCACATTTCAAATGCCCAGTAGCTATGGTATTAGTCAGCACAGTTCTAGGGTTTTATGGGGTTTTTTTTTTTAGGTTAAAGAGCATGCTTTTATTTTTTTCTTCTTTAAATTTTATGTTCATGTGCATGCTTTTTAGTTATTTATGTGCTATTTGATTGACACAGCATTAGCGTGACTTAAAATTTTAGCCTCTCATGTCTCTCTTTGGGATCCACTTACATTTATCTTGTGCCCATAAAGGAGACGCACCCCGTACGCATGTATCATCAGCCTGACTAACAGTATGTACCCTTCACCATGGAAATGTTTCCTCAGTTGTTTTTATTTAAACATCTCTGTTCCTGCACTTAAATAAAAAAAAGACTAAAGAGCAGATTTATTTTTTCTTATGCAGCGTAAGTTTTAGAAGCCAATTTGTGCATCTGCTCATTTCCGTATCAGTGTCACCTTAGGTTTTTTTTCAAAGGACTTAGTTGAAAGATTCATTGAAATTTTTCCCATAACTTTCAGGAAATCCAAGGCAAGTAGGGTTATTAGGTGTTAGAAGACATCAAGGAGTATTGCTGAAATTATAGGCATCCCTTTGATTCAGAATTACAGCCCCTGAACATGGGTAATGGTAAATGTTAAATATATATATATAATCTCCATCTTCCACATTGTACTTCACCTAAATTTTTTCCATTTAATGTTAAGGTATAATTTGACCTAATTTATGAGTAATTTTTAAAATGGGTGGGGTTTTTTGAAATATATATTTTTTCCAATGAATTTTTTAAAATCCGTGTGTTATGTTTATGATTTAAAGTCACTCCATCAGGCAACAAGAAAATGTTGTCTTTTGCCCCATCTCCTTCCACACACACCCCCCTGCCCCGTTCCTACTCCCTCACCATAGTCACTTTCATTTCTTTACTGTGTGTCTGTGGTGTTTGCTTTCATATTCAGAAGAGTGGGTCCGCGTGGCTTTCTCAGTTTTTCAGTTTTAGATATTACTTTCCAAAATAGGAAATCAGTGGATAAGTATGTCGTTCTCTTGAGCTCCTAATAGAGTTTTAAGATAAGGTTTGCTTAGATCAGTGCTGATTGTTCTCGCTGGGTGAGGAGAGCTCAGATCTGAGCCGTGGCATGCCAGAGGATTACAGGACCGACCATCGTTTCTGTTTTCTTAAAGATAATAACTATCTGGAATTTTCTGCTGGCATTACTTAGCCGGATCTGACTCTTACTCTGGCTCACTCTCCCTCAGGGGCATCCGTTCCATCTTCTCCTTGGGGATGTCTCAGCACCTCTAACCTTCCTAGTGGTTTCTGGCCTGCACAGCCCCTGTCCGGGGTCTGGTTCCCCTTGGTTCACACCCCATTTTAGTGGAGCACATTCTTTCTTGAACTCCTCAAGACTGTGAGGAACTGCGAGACCCTGCATGTGAAGACGTGTCTGCCTTCTGCCCTCATGCCTGTTTAACAGTCAGCTGCAGAAAGAATTACAGGCTGGAGATCTAGCTCCTCCGGATTTGGAAAGCACTGCTCTGTTGTCTTTGGCGCTCAGTGTTTCTGTGGAAAAGTCCAGTTCTGTAGATAATCTAATCTTGGTTCTTTGTCTGTGGCATGTTGTTTCCACCCGGCTTTGGAAGCTTTTTTCTCCAGAAGATTTTGAAAGATCATGATTCAGAGACTTAATGTAGCTGTTTTTCATGCGTCTGTTGAGTACTCGGTAGGCCCCCTAACTCTGGACACCTAACATGGCCTGGAGCTCTGAGAAATGTCCTTTAGTCATTTCTGTGACATCTACTCTCTCTCTTCTCTTATAAAACAGATGTAGAACCTCCCTGCTGATTCCATGACTTTATCATCCCTGTTTTTCTTCTTTTGAGATTTCCTCAACCCTCCTTTTGAATTTTTATTTCTGCTATCCAAATTTCAACTTCTGACAACTCTCGTATTCCAGTATTCATTTTCCTAAATCTATTCTTGTTTCATGCCTACAGTATCTTCCACTACTTCTCTTAATGTCTTGTTTAAAACTTTGACATTTCTCCTTTCCTTGCATTGTTTCTGTTGCTCCAATTTTTTTCTTTATGTTTGTTTTTATCTTTAAAGTTTATCCTCTGGTATCTTTTACCATGACACCAAAAAGCCATCAGGGTCAGAGAACTCTGACCCACTGGTGGACTTCACTGCAGATTAAACTGGTGGGGCTGTTTTGTGTGGGTAACTCCCAGCTGTCATGTTTTGGGCTGGTCATTCTCACTAAAGAGGGATCCTTCAGTCTCCTGCCCCGCAGACATGAGCCTTGCCAGCATTCACAGAGCTGACTGGAAGAAAGGAGAATCTCAGACAAATTTGCAGTGGATCCTCCAGTTTGCAGCCCACCTGCACCCCTGCTTACAGAGTCACTCGAGGGCCCTGATGCCTGAGCCTCTGGGGGACCCTGTGGTGCCCATTAGCCTGCTCAGGCATCTCCCACTGTCACTGTCCCTAGTCACCACCTGTCCAGCTGCCTTCCAGCTTTCAAGTTTTTTTTATTACTGTCAACTCTCTTCTTTCTGTTCTTGTATGTTTATCCCATCGTTTTAATGTTAGTGGGACGTCAGGAGGGAGCAGCACAGCATGCGTGTGTCTGCCGTGTTTCACAGTCTCAGCATACCCTTCCTTCTTCAGAAATGTGTCTGTTAGCGAGGCAACAGATGTATCAGGAAGTGAGTAAAGAAAACACGATGGCTCTGCCCTCCCCACCTTTGCAGAAACCCAAGGAGTCAGCTTAGTTGGAGAATAACCCTTATGCTGCTCCTCTTTATTAGCATGAGGTTCCATCCAGAAGTACCTGGTATTTTAATTATAAAGTTTGCTTCGGTAACGGATTGGTTTCTTATTTGTAATATGTTGCTGTAAACTGCAGTGTTTTGTTTTGTTTTGTTTTGTTTTGTTTTGTGTTTATAAACATCCCATGTCTTCTAACATGTTTAAGGGGAGAGATACAATAAAAATAATAGTTTAGGAATGAATAGCCCGTTCAGTTTTTTTTTTAATATAAACTAATTTCAGTTAATCAGTGGTTTTTTTCTCCCACTTCTTTTCATCCATCATTCTTACATTGTTTGGTGTTTTTGATAAGTCTGTACCAATATCCTCAGAAAAATACTTAATCCAGGTCAGATTATTAAAGGATCATTAGAACTAACTCAGCAGCCCATTAAGTAATTTTTTGTTTTTCTGTTAAAGGAGAGAGTTTTAAGGGTTAAGTACCAGGCTTAATACTTGAACTGTTTCCTTTCATGAGTGTCACAATTCTGCTTAACGGAAGTTTTACATAGTCCTTTTAGAAACACAAAGAACACTTTTGTAGATGGTTTTATCATCTTAAGTAAATATTTTATTAGGATAAGAAACAGCATTAAGTGTTTTAAAAAATAGTTTTCATACTGAATTATCCAAACACTTGGGATTTAAACTAGTTGCATAATGGATGGTGGTAATATTGTGGCCAAGAAAACAAAACTCCCCAATTCAGATTATCTGGGATCAGGGAATTACATAGAAGTAGATCTTAGGCATCTCCTTGTCCATGCTATTATTTGAAAACCAATCCCTGGAAGTTCGAAGTGCGTTCCATGCAGTCCGGAAAGTCAGGGGTTAATGACCTAAGGATGAAAGCAAAGCAGTGGAAGCCTTCAGTGCTCTCGGAGACAGGATTCAAAAGTGTTAAGGAAAGCAGATTCAACCTAAACCCAGGGGCTGACTGAAGAGGAGCTTTAAGAAGGAACCTTTCACAGGTAGAAGGAAGGCTGAACTGGAATTCAGACTAGAGATGATTTCAACAGTGTATGTCAGCGTGAGACAATACATCTAATTCCTATGTATGTGTTCAGTTATACCCAAAGGGCATTTCAGACTAGTCTAGACTGGCTTCCCACTTCCGCAGCTGCTGGCACTGTGCCATCCAGGACAGCACTGGGAAGGGAAGAGGGGAAGACAGGCCACAGGGGCCCTGGATTTAAAAAGGAAACCTTGACCCTTTCATGGTAGGAGAACGTAATCAAGGAACTCTAAAGGGATTGAGACTGTCTTTCCTAGAGCTTCTCAGAGTTCTGTTTTATGAGCTCTCTGAATCAGCTGAAAATGCTGTCAGTTCTTTATCTGGGGCTAGTTAAGGCTGGGATTCGAAAACCATCAATCTTGAAAATTTCCAGGATTAAATTTTCTCTTGGAGCCCAAGTGGCCATTTTTACCTCTCAGAGTTTCTGAGTTGTGATTGAAACACCGTATTTCTCATTGAAATGTTATGCAGTGGCATGCTAAATTATCTTACTTGCCTTGAAGCTACTGAACTACTTAGCTTTTATTTGACCTGATGTTTATCTGACCTTCACTTTTACAATATAAGCTTTTATATCTGCCATGTAAGCTTCTGTAGAACATGCCAAGGGAGAGATTTAATTACACTCTATTTGTCTTTTTAAAAATAGGTATCAATGTATTTTCTATTCCAGGGCATTTGATGTAGAACTGCTTTACATAGCACAGTTCTTTAAAATTCCAATAGCAGAAATTGCTGTCAACTGGACGGAAATTGAAGGTGAGTCTATTGTTCATGTTACAGCTGATCTCAAGTGGGGGAGGACGTCACACAATACAGTTGTCCAATAAAGTCGGCTGCCTTTAATGTTTCCCCTGCCCCCATCAGGGCCTGCTCAGTTATCCTGACTCAGAAAAGCAATCTGTAGAGAGTACTGCCTCTGAGCCCCGCCACCCTCCAGCTGGCTGGCTGCCTTCTGTATGGCTTTAGTCTCTTGTTAGGGTCTTCAGCAGGCCTCCTGGCTTGCACGGGGAATTCAGTAAAACTTGTACAGTAGACAAGATCGTGGTGATTGCAGGCTACAAGCAAGGTTGATAGTCTTGAGATAAACTTTACTGTTTGCAGTACCATTTTTTTTAGTATTATTTCATTACTCCATGAATATTAATTGAGTACCTACAAACCACTATGCAAAACTAAATAAGAAACTATAGTTTTTACTCCAAATGTCCACAGTCCATTCACAGCCAGTTTTTAACTGGCATCTGTACATATATCCAAAAATGTAAAGCTGTCTAACATCTCTAGCAATGTGAAATCATCTAATGTCCATTCAGAAAAGCTTAGATAGCTCTTGCTGTGTAGAATTTAAAATATATTCCGGTTTTCTCTGTTGCTTGCCTTAGAATGCTCCTAAATTAATTCCCAGTGTGGCAGCGGTTCACTGGAGGCTTTTTCAAAGTCACTTCTTTTGCTGCAGTAAGCAACCTCAAGTGTTTAGGGACAGAAAAAGGTTAAGAATGAGACTACATAGTCCAGAACAAATTCAGGCTCTTGGAGTCTTGCTGAATCATATTAAGTTTACAGAAATTTAATCTCCACAGTAGCAGCCTCGATTAAAGGGGCCTGGGAGGTGGGTGAAAGGATTGCACAGACGCATCATGATCACTCCATTGATCTATCTGTGTTGATCTCTGCCCAGCAGAGACTCTATGGGAAGTTGAAGTGGAGAAAAGTCAAAATATGTTTCATTTTCTATCATTTTCTCATTTGCATCTCTCAGATTGTTGAGTATTACATTTCCTTAGCTGGCACTCAGAGAGCAGTTCTGTGTCCATCACGCCCAGCCCCCTCAGCCGTGTACCTCCCGAGAGTGGGGCTATCCAAAACTCACAATGTAGATCTTCCCAAGTTTCATTTCACTTCAGGGTGTTTTGTTTTTTTGTTTTTAGAGAAACCACTCACTTTGGCTTTGAAGATGTTTAATTCTTTTGTCCATGATTTAAATAAAAGTAAGGTGGATGTGTTAACTTGATTGTGGTAATCATTTCACAGTGTATACGTTTATCAAGTCGTTACATCGTACACTTTAAAGATATTTCAGTTTTATTTGTGACTTACACCTCAGTAAAGCTGGGGGGAAGAGAAAGAAAAAGAGAAAGAAGCTAGAGCATTTGGGCTGAAGTCTGGAAACTGCCAGTGATTAGTCCTGCGGCCTTGACCGTGTCACTTTACCACCCAGCACCCCAGTTACCTGACCAATGGGTAGGGAGGCTCCACTCCCGACTGACTGAAAAAAACAATTTCCAGGGTAAAATCAAAGAAGGTAAGATCTTAAAACATGTTCAGGGAGGCAGATGCTGTGTCGTCCACTGGGCTTGCTTGGCATGTTGCCATTTGACAACCACTGGACAAGAAGAAGGCCTAGCTAAATGTATTTATTTTATCTGATTGAGAGTCTTTGGTAGAATTAGAATAAAAGCTGGTTTTTGTCTTGGCCTTCTTATTTCAGATTATTAATCTATTATGCTTGTATTTTACTTGTATTATATACAGGGGTGTACCTGATCATAGTACTTAAGACTGAAAGGCAGTACGTGAAACATGAAGATTTGCTCCCCCCAAAATCATTTTTAAATGTGCACATGGAATTAAATGTTTAACAGACATACATACATAATATAAATAACATAAATTAAGGTGACTAGAAGCTCACAAAAGTCATGTAAACCAATGTCTACAACACAGTTTTAAACTGTTACATTTTCTCCTGAAAACATGTTTATTTTTAATTATTTTTAAATCACAGGTTCTAAATTAGTTCCATTCTGGAGCTGGCTACAGATGGGCAAGGACCTACTTTTTATACGACTTCGGTATTTGACTGGTGCCTGGAGGCTTGAACAAACCAGGAAAGTGAATTAGGTTATTTGCCATCTTTGATTGTATTCTTACGCATCAGTGTCACATTATTTCACATTATTTCATTTTAAATTAAAATTTTAAATAAAGCTGGAATAAATCAATGCCATTGTCTGCCTTTTGATAATTTTAAAGAATTTACTGCCAGAAGTAAAAACTTTTATACCTCTTTTTGGACAAAAAAAATTTTAAGGTGTTTGTAACAAAAGTCAGATTTTTTTTTTTTTGCTTTAGCCATTTTGTGTATTTAGATTAATTATCATTATGATTCTGAGAAATAAACTTTTTAAACAGAAGACAGAAGCAATTATTCTTACTCTGAAGTGCCTATATAATTCTTGCAAACTGAAATATAAACCACAATCATGTAACAATGTTCAGGGATTTAAAAATAAAGTTAGCAAATGTTTAAATATACACAAATTTATCAATATTAAACCCATAAGACATTCTGTAAAATTCTAGGAAATTATATATTAAAGGAAGGATATAGGCTTGCTCACAAAGGTATCCACTTTCTTGTAGTCTTATTTATCTTCCTCCTAATTTTATGTATACTCTTCTCTGTCTGCTGGCAACCCTTCCCTCTTGAGTTTATGTTAATAAAAATTGCAAATTCTTTATTGAAAAGAGAAAGTTTATAATATGAATAAATGTATTTACCTAATAACATCAGAAGCCTGTGTTTTTGAGAAACTAAAGACTAATCAAATAGCAATTATAAAACAGTGAACACCTAAAAATCAGAATTAGATTGTTTCTGATGTTTTAGAGAAAGTAGAAATGATAACATCTAACATTTATTGAGTGTTACCCGTGTGCCTACCACTACTCTAATGTCTCTCCTAACTTTTACAGCAGAAGAGGAGACCAAGGCACAACGGGGTTGCCTGCCCAAGGTCACACAGCTCAGACACGGTGGAGTTGAGATTCTGGCCCCCCTGGGCCAGATCCAGGGCCTACGCTCTTCAGTGACTGTGATACTTCAGTTTTTCAAGGTCTGATAACTGGGATATGTAAATAGAAAGTGTCAGAAGTACATTAAATACAACATTTTAGAGACAAGATGTAGAAAAGTAAGTATGCTAAAAATGACTCCTCTCCAGGAGTTTCAACAGTGATACTGTCACATCTGCATTGGACAGTAAGCTCCTTGAAAACAGAAACCGTTTCTGCCTCAAATTATTCCCAGGGTTCTCTCTCTCTATGCTGTATTTTGCTATATTTTCTTTATTTGAAACTCATCCCAGGATCACTTGATATAGTGACAGAGTGTTCTACATGTGCAAGCGAAACAGATCCCTGCCCTCTGAGAACTCTACACTTTAAGGGCCTGATACCTGTAAGTCTCACCTGTAGAACCACGTGGCCATGCACGCCTGGAAGTGCTCAGCCCGTCTTCAGCTTACTAGTGGGTTTCATCCAAGCCAGTTTACAAACCGGTTGTTTGGAACCCAAAGGCTTTTTCCCATGAAAATAGTATCAGGAAGGGCAGCCTGCAGAGTGTTCCTGTGACACATGAACTACCCTGTACCTGCCTGCAGTAACACCTAACCACGTTCTGCAGCACCATTTCTGCGGAGAAATTGTTCTTCATGTTCCAAGTGGAAACGTTTCACCAGGGAAATACTTCTCCCGGTGGCCTCTAGGAATCCCAGTGAAAACTCACACACATCAGCAGTGAGCTTAAACTTCCCTGCAGCCTCCGTGGAGGCTGTAGGCAACTTCCTCCCCACCAGGGAGGATCCGACAGAAGAGGGAAAAGGCTCCAGCAATGATCAGTGGCAGCGTGGGAGTCGGGGAAACCTGCTTTCAGGGCTGCATCAAAAGTAGACAGTCCCTGGCGGGGAGGTTACAGTTCAAGTGGTAAAGCCATGCAGAAGGTCCTGGGTTCAACCCCCAGCACCTCCTCCAAAAAATGAAAGAAGAAAATATATCTTATAAATCATTCATTCATTCCATCATTCTCTCAGTAAGTACATACTGAACGCCTAGCTTCGCACTGCTAAGCCCTGGGGATACCAAAAGCCTGGTACAGATCCTAGGTCAGGATCTGTTCCTGTATTCTCTTCTCCTAAGTCATCTTCATACATTTAACAAGTATTTGATGAGCGTCTGCTGTACACCAGGCACTGTTTTAGGTGTTAGGAGTAAACAAGAACAAAATCAGGCACACCTCTCATTCTCTTACAGATTTCAGTTAATTGAAGGAGACAGACATTAATCAAGTAATTAAATATAAGTCAATTTGGAACAGTGTTGGTTATGAATGAGAGAGAGAGAGGCTCTAACCAAGTCAGAGAGGACCAAGAAGGCTTCCCTAGGATGTGACACTTGAGCTGAGATCTGTAGGAAAAGTAGGTGTCAATGAGACAAGTGAAGGAAAAGCCTAATATGGTGGAGCTCAGGTGAAATTTGAATTAGACGTTACCTGTTCTCTTCTTTTTATGTGTTGCATTTGTTCACTTATTCAGTTAATTTGTTCAAAACCTGTGGGTTTCTTAAAAGCAGCAGAGGCATCAAAGAATGAGGATCAAATACGTCACCAAAAATACAGGCAACAAAGGCAAAAACAGGCAAATGGGACAGCATCAAACTTAAAAACTTCTACACATCAAAGGAAACAACAGAGTACAAGGGCAACCTGCGGAATGGGAGAAAATACTTGCAAATCACATACCTAATAAGGGGTTATTCTCCATAATCTACAAGGAACTCCTACAACTCAACAAGAAAACCAAATAACCAGATTAAAAACTGGGCAAAGGATTTGAATAAACAGTTCTCCAAAGAAGATACACAAAAATCCAACAAGCATATGAAAAGATGTTCAGCATCACTAACAGTAAGAGCAGTGCAAACCCAAACCACAATGAGATACCACTCACACCCACTGAATTGATGGCCACTATTAAAAAAACAGAAAATAACAAGTGTTGGCCAGGATGCAGAGAAACTGAAACCCTTGTGCACTTCACATTCCGGTGGGAACAGAAAATGGTGCAGCCATAGGGAAAACAATATTGACGTTCCTTAAAGACTTGAAAACAGAACTACTGTGTGACCCAGCAGTCCCACTCCTGGGTACACATCCAAAGGAATTCAAAGCAGGATCTCAAAAGAGATATTTGCACACTCATGTTCACTGCAGCACTATTCCCAATAACCAAGAGGAGGAAGCACACCAAATGTCCACTGAATGATGGTTGGGTAAAGAAAATGTGGTCCATACATACAATGGAATACTACAGAGCATTAATAAGGAAGGAAACCTTACCACATGGTACAACATAGATGAACCGAGAGGACGTTATGCTAAATGAAATGAGGCAGTCACAGAAAGACATATACAGAATGACATCACTCATGTTAAGTATCTAAAACAGTCAGAATCATAGAAACAGAAAGTGGAAAAGTAGTTGCCAAGAGCTGAGGGGGAAGGTGGAGGGGTAATTACTGTTTAGTGGTTACGGAGTTTCAGTTTTCCAAAATGAAAAAGTTCTAGAGATCTGTTGTACAACAATGTGAATATATTTACCACGTCTGAACTGTACATTTAAAAATGACTTAAGATGATTTAAAAAAAGTCAGTCTCATCTAATCCCTAAATAGCATGCTACCAAGCAACAGTTTGAATGAATGGATGGATTTAATTAATTCCAAAAGTAACCTAAAGTTAACTAAAATAATAAAGACATATTTCAAAACTTTTTAAAAAATGAGGATCAAAAAAAGTCACTGAATTATTAGTTGAAAGGTCACAGTGACCTCTGAGAATGTTAGAACAGCACTGAAATCTAACAGTGATGACGGAAGGCAAAAGCCAGATTGGGGGAAGTTAAGAAGCTGTGGGTTACAAGGAAGAGAAGTCAGATAAAAACCACGCACTGAGAAGTTTGACAGCGGGAGAAAGGACAAATATTACATGGATTTGGGGAAGAGTTTTGCTTCCCCGAGATAAGTAAGCTCTGACTTGATTTAAGTAATGATCTGAGTTACTGTTTCTCTCTTATAGAAAAAAAGAGACTCAAATGGACTGGAGAGAGGGCAAAACTCAAGAGGATGCAAACTGCTAGTCAAATTTCACTCACAAATGTTTTCTTTGGCTTGGCTTTAAAAAAAATTCTTAGCAAAAATCTTTAATTCTAAGATTTTTCCATAAAAATCTGGATATTTTTTATCCCTTGAAACTCCAGCCCCATTCTCACATGGCAACAACTTCTGGAGCTGCATACCAGAAGATCAGGGACATTGCTCTCCAGTCCCCAAACTTCATCATTCTATCTCTCCTGGTGACTGACAGTCCCAGCATGGTCGCCAGCACTGTTCGCAACCCCATTGTTTTTCTCCCTTCTTTGATTCTTGATTCTTCCAGTTGTTTGGGTTTTTTAACCAAATTCTATTGATCTTTTTCCCTTCACAGTGTTTATAAAATGCAGCACCTCCCACCTTTCCTATAATCACACAGACACTGTCCTCTCCAGACAGTGCTCACCTCATGCCTAGATGGTTGCAGGGGCTTCCTAATTGGTCCCCTACCTCTTGTCTCTTAAAACTTTTCTCCACCACCCACTTCCACTTTACAGGCTGTAGATTTTTCTTCTTCAGTGTCACTACCCATGTCACACTCTGCTCAAACACTTTGCAGTTCAACTTCAAGTTCCAGGAAGGCAGTGAGGTGTAATGGTTAAACGCCTGAGCTTTGGAGTCTGGACGACTAGAGTTTGAATTCTGAGCTGGACACCCGGGGACATTTTGTTATGCCTCCCATGTTCCTTAACTGTGAAGTACAGATAGGAATTCTCATCCTACAATGTCGTGAGTGTGAAACAAGATGCCGTGCATCAAGCAGGGCCTAGTCCTGGCAGTGGGACTCTCACCACAGGAGACAGAGCTGTCACTCTGCCACTAAACCAAGAGGCTCTAGCACGCCCTTGTCACAAACCCAGGGCATGCATTCGGTGACGTCCGTCCTTCTAACATTATTTTTCTTATTTATCCAGGTAGTTTGACAGTTCTGTAGAAAAACAGATTTTTCATACTCAAAACCTCAACGAATTCTGCACATAGCTGGCATTCTGGGCTCTTTATGATCACGCAGACTGTGCC